GTCTCACTAATAAGCCTCATAGCTAGTTCTCTTGGATACTCCGAAATGGGTCCCATTAAATCCCTTAGGACCCTCAGAGCTCTGAGGCCTTTAAGAGCACTCTCACGATTTGAAGGGATGAGGGTAAGACTTCAATTTCAAAACAACTACTACAAGACCCATCAGCAGAGCCTCTCTGTCCATGAGCATCCTGCAGCATGCTGTGAGGCCCTTCCTCCATTCCATCATCTGTGTGTCTGTGGTCTTTCTGTTCTCATTTTTCATGCCAGGCTTTATGTGAAATGATTGGCGCTGATCCTGTACCCTGCAGTGGAGTTCTCTTTTTCCTCCTCCTCCTCCTCCTCCTCCTCCTCCTCCTCCTCCTCCTCCTCCTCCTCCTCCTCCTCCTCCTCCTCCTCCTCCTCTTGCTGCTGCTGCTGCTAAAAATTTAGGCTGCTTGCTTGTTGAATTATCTTTGGCTTGGACTGATCCCGTCCTCGGTGGATTTCATTCTGAGCTAATCCCGGTTCATGTCTTGTTTACAGAGAATCTGTCATCTGGTTGACAACCAGAGCTCAATTAAGACAACTTCCAATCAGCTCCCCCGTCTCTTAATTTTCCTTTTTAAAATTTCACGTTGCCCTTTGAAACGTTTTCCCCCAAGTTGGCTCGTAAGCCCATAAGCGTCACAGTAAAAAACCTGAAACTAAAAACTACGATTGAAAACACACAACAGACAAACAACTCAAGCAGGAAAATACTGAAATGAGCTCAGGTAAAAGGCTTTGTTACATCCTAAAATCTGACTGCAGGTAGTCCTTGACTTATGACCACAGCTGAACCCAACATTTCTGTTGCTACACAAGGTTAAGTAGGTTTTGCCCCATTTTACAAACTTTTTTTTGCCACAGTTGTTAAGCAAATCATTGCAGTTTGTTAAGTGAATCATGTGGTCATAAGAGAATCTGACTGTCTCCTCTTGACATTGCTTGTCAGAAGCCATCTGGGAATGTTATAAATAGTTATCACACGACTTCAGGACAGTGCAACAGTCATAAATACATGCCAGTTGCCAAATACCCAAATTCTGATCATGTGACCATGGGGATGCTACAACGGACACAAATATGAAAAATGTTCATAACTCATAAGTCACTTTTTTCAGTGCCTTTGTAACTTCGAACGGTCACTAAATGAATGGTTCTAAATCGAGGACTATCTGTACATCATAAAATGTGACTATATAAATAGATTGGAAAGTTGAAGAATAAATACATTTTTGTCTGGCTCCAGGAATATAATAGAACAGACCCTTGATAGACGCTTTTTGGGGGAAAGACTTCCAAAAACCGGGGAGTCACCACTGGGAATATCCAGTTCCTATCTGATGTCTGGCCTTCACCCTTCAAGGCTCCAAATTCTCAGAGTTAAAGTAGGAACATGAGTCATTCCAATGATATTGTACTCCTGATATGGACCAGAATATTTTTGAGTCTTTCTTTATCTAGAGATAAAGCAGATTAATACTTTACTGTCTGAACACAAATACTAAATAGCAAGACTGATTCATGGTCAGTATTTCTGTATCTGTTGCTCATGGTTAAATTTTCTCACAGCAAGAAGCCAGCGTCTTCAGTGAAAAAAACCCATAAAACAAGTTGCCGCTACTCCACTGATTTAAAAGAAACCCAGCCCCTGAAATATATATGCAGAAAATAGTCCTGAAACAAAACATTATGTATATATTTTGAATTTTGACCTCCAAATACTTTGGAGCCCATGTCAAGCATATAGAGCAGGAGTGTCAAACTAGATTACTTCGAGGGCCGGATTAGCATTGTAGTTCTCCTTCGCGGGCCAGCCGCGTGGATGGGGGGAGAGACAGGACGGACACCTCCTGCAGCACCGGCTAAAACGGGGTGGCTGCAGACAGCCCTCTGCGCCCCACTTTGGCCTGGATGGCCTCCTGCAGCACTTTGCCAGCCAAAATGGGGTACGTGCTCCGTTTTCGCTAGCAGAGGCACCATTGGCCTTGAGTTTGACACCCCTGATACAGAGCAATTATAATCTATGTATGAATATTGGCAGGTTAGTGCTTTGGCATCAGCAACACTTAGGTAATGCCGACAGATGAAATATTTAAATATCTATTTTAAAGGTGCTTTTTTTTTTTCTAAAAAGGCAACTGGGCTGTGTTTTATTTGAGGAAGAGTAAAAAACAGTCCAGTTGCCTTTTGGGGAAAAAAAGCACCTTTGAGACAATTAGAACCTGGATGACTGAGAATCTCCATAGACAACTAAGCAAGGATATTAACATGATGGCCCAAATGGTCATCTTTCTGATTACCTATAATTCCATAGAATAATTATATAATAATTCTATTATTCTGTCATTCTTTATGATTTGTGATTTTTAAGAAATAGGAATTGACCACGAGGTTTTGTAAACTTTCCTTCACAAATTAACCTGTAAGCCTCTGCAACCAGTTACTGACACCAGACTGGCAAAATTGCATTAAAACGTGGCAGTGTTTTGTCACTTGATCCAATGCCCTCCTTGTAGTCAGCCATTTCTTTCCATCTCTTTTACAAATTCCTCCAGCGTTTATTATCCTACTATCTTAAAACCTCTTAACCCTGATAGCCTCAACTCCCGTCATTCAGAACAGGGAAGAAGATGATGGGACCTGAAATCTTAACACATCTGAAAAGATTTAGGTAGAGCAGGGGAAGGGTGATGGCCCTTTTATGCCAGCCTGTTAAGGATATTGTTGTTGTGTTACCAACCAGCAGAGTGTAGAGCACAGAGAAACGTTGCTGAGAGCAATGAATAAGAGATGTGCAAACTGGTTTATCAAAAGTTTACTTTATAGTGAAAAAAACAATCTCGTAGTCTTTAAATCAAATCCAAGTCTTTGCCAGTTAAATCAGTCCAGTGATACAAAAATCTTCTTACCACACAAACAGTAGTTGGTTAGAATAACAAACTCACTCTGGTTCACAAACCACGATGGTAGCAGATCCATCCAACTGATGATAGCACAATGGTAGCAACTCCACACACAATGGTAGCTTATCATCAACTGAATACGTTACAGTACCTTTCTTAAATACGTTTACAACCAGTGATTATCTAATTATAGCATGACTCAGCATTACAATGAATCAGCAGGAAAACTTTAAAGTCACACAATACATATTCATATTAAAGTTACAGAACACATATATTGCCTGGACAACTTGTTAGGCTCAAACCATATCCTAACATAGCTGTTCCTAGGAATTCAGGGAGTTGAAGTCCACAAAGAAGCCATTGTTTCCCACCTCTGAGGAAGGCTGACGTTACAAGAGCTAATCACGATGAATTTAAACTCTAATACTGATCATTTCCCATCTTTATGACCAGCTGTAAAAGGCAGAGGGCTGACAATCTTTCTCTTTGGATGAATCCTGGTTAAGTGGGGCCTGGATTAGTCATGCCTTGTTCAGCTTTCCATCTTTTTTCTGCTGCCGCCATTTGTATTTCCTGTTTCATTGCATACGTAGCCATATCATTGCATAGGTCATGTATGCATGCATGCACTTGGACAATTGTTCATTGACATTCTTTGGTTGTAACCTTTGTTACGGAGATTTGGTGTGCACTGCACAAGGTGTCGACAAACCTGTTTTTAAACTGGGGGGAGATATAGCATCAACGAGGTTTCGGCTGTTTCCATTTTCTAGTTTCCGTTTGCAGTATTTCAAGCTACGGCTGTTTTGAAGGGTTCTGAGCTTGGTGCACGTATATAGAGGAGATGCAAACATAAGAAAAAGAAAGAAAAATTCAATGTTTGCGTTTGCAGAATGAAATACAGATTTCTGTTTGCTAAGTATGTGGTCAAGTGGGGGGGAAGTACTAAAAAGAAAAGACGCGTTTGCAATAAGTAAATGTTGCTATGTCTTTTGCTTGCTCACTCTTTTTTTTTTAACCATGCTCACAAATGTGCCAAATTATTTTCTGATAACTGAGGATTTGTAAAACTTTGCAAGACTCTGAAAGAGGGTTTCTGTTTGCAGCCCAAGTCTGTTACAAGGTACTTTTGCAATTGGAGAGATGTTCATTTGTATGCTTGGTTACTATCTCACTTTATTTGTGAACATGGTATTTGTGCGTGTGTGCGTGTGTGTGCGTAGGTGTGCATTTATGTCTGTGTTGGATAACTTTTTCTTGTTTATTTTTGCATGATGGTGCCATATTGGTACGTGTAGTCTTCTCCCTAATGGAAGAATAAGTAGTGCAGTCTGCTTGCACAAAACCAAAGGAGCAAAATGTATTATTTGTAGTTAAAAGCATGGTTGAATTCCTTAATTGATATACTGTATTTGGTTTTATTGCTCTTTCTTTTAGATGAACACTTCTCTTTCCTTAAAAAATTAGCCAAAGAAGCCAATCAAACAGATGAGAGGAAATGAACTATTTGTGGCTAGGTATTTCAGTGGCTTAAACACAATTTTCAACAGAGTCAAATAATTTTATAAAATGGAGAATTCCACTTATAACTCCTTTATAAGAAATCAATTCATGCAAAATTCCTTCTGCTTGACTTTCCAGGTAAATGCAACCCAGAGAGGCAAAAAATAGAAGGATAAATTTGCAGTTGGTTATCTCAAACTGTATTTCCGTAGCAGGCCAAGAAAACTGTCAGGAAAAGTTGATGGAAGAGATGATCAACTTCAGTCAAATGGTTGTTACTTATTCTCACTTCTACCATCTCTTTGCAATTGTTTGCTGGGCAGAAGGAACAAAAAACACATCCATGCCAGATAATATCGACAGCCCTCAACGTACGACCACAATTGAGCCCAAAGTTTCTGTTACTAAATGAGACATTTGTTAAGTGAGGGTTGCCTCATTTTGAAACCTTTCTTGCCACAGTTGTTCAGTGAATCACCGCAGCTGTTGAGTTAGTAACATGGGTTAAGTGAATATGGCTTTGCTTGTCAGAAGGTCACAAAAGGTGACCCCAGGACACTGCAACCGTCATAAATATGAGTCAGTTGCAAAACATGTGAATTTTGATCACATAACTATAGGGATGCTGCAATGGTCATAAGTGTGAAAAATGGTCCTAAGTCACTTTTTTCAGGGCTGTTGTAACTTC